TCCCAAGCAGGCTCCACACGCAGGGCAGAGCCCAACACGGGACTCTGTGTCACAACCGTGAGATCATGACCTGAGCCGAAATCAAGAGTCACATGCTTAACCGACTGAGCCACCCGGGCGTCCCTGGCTTGTGGTTTGAAAGGCTCTTCTACCCAGGCAGCATTTTGTGACACCATGGCTTGGTCACTTGGGAAACGGGCCTCCTGATGCACGCGGACCTGCACGTGCTGTCACCTTCTGTTCTACCGTGTGACACGTTCGCACGCGTTTCCAGCTCCCGCTGAGCTCATTAGGGTGGTCTGAGTCCTGGGACACTGCCTGGATCCCAGTGGCAAAGCCAAGCTTTCCAAAAGCCCAACTTTGATCAGAGTTCGAGATTGTATCATTGGCGCCTTGGAAGTGACGGGCTCCCCCCACTCGTTCCCGAGACCACATCTGCCGAATTCCCCAGACTGAACGGCACCACTAATGCCGTCCGCGGCGAGCTCGGTGGTCTGTGACCCGTGCTGCGCCCGGGTCCACGTGCTGAGCTACCGGAGACGGTGCCTCGGGGGGCCCAGGGTGAGGAGCACACAGGACCTCCCTCTAATGATTTGCAACTTCTTGTGAGTCTGTAACCATTTCTGAGTTAAAGTTAAAAAGATGTTTACTTAAGGGTTGCATTTAATAAAACTAACTTGACTGCTTCAGGAAGGACCTGCTTAAGGAAGAGTGGCAGTTTTTATCCCCAGATGTGTGGTGTTGGGGAGCCCACCGCCACGACTCTCCCGCCTGTGGGGCCTCGGTTCACGCTGGGACCCGCGGTCCTGCCCGCCCAGCGCGCAGGGCAACACGGGGGGTGGGGGGAAGGCGGGAGTGTGAAGGCAGCGTTGGCCCCGTGCTGCCCTGGGGACCACGCACAGAACCGCTCCAGCGTGTCCCTCCCACATGCGGCTTCGGCCTCTGCGTGTCCTTTGGTGCCACCTGTCCCCAGAGGCTCCTCCTCCCCGTCTGTAGGCAGCCTGCCCTCTGCTGCCCCTTCTTTGCTGCTCGTGAAGCTTCTAGTCCTTGAAGCCCCTTGGCTCCTGCTTTGCGTCCCCTTACAGAGGGGACGCCGTAACCTCTCTGCAAGGTCGTCCACTTCTTGAGGACAAGGCTCCTCTCCTTTTTGCTTTTGAGTGCCTTCCCAGTTGGGGATTCACATCGTGCCGAGTGACCTCCCGTTTGTGTTGTAGAAGGTGCCAATGACTGCCGTGCGCGAAGGCTCTCTGAGGCGCGGGTGGAGGTGCTCTCTATACGTCTCTTTCCGTCCCATCGAGAGGCTTGTCTGAGCGGCGGAGTTGGGATCGGGACCCCTAGTCTTATGCCACCGCTTACCAGACGCGCCAGCGTCCTGCCCTGCCCGCGTTCCAGGTTGAACAGCCAGGGCGGCCACCGTCTTGAAACATCACACACGAAGTTTTCAAGTGAAATTGAATTGCTGCTGTTCATTTCTTAACTTGAGGAGAAAAAAGCGATTTTCCCTATGCGTCTAACGCGTATTTTCGTTATTAAACCGACGCGTTTTATGTTCAGAAGCAGTTAGGTGACATTAAAATACAGACTGTGTCCAGTTTGGGATTTTGCGCTCTGGAGCGTGGGACTATTGACGCCTCTTATTTGGGTGTGAAAACCGAATGCTCTTGCCGGGGCCAAACCTGTGCTCTCGTCTGCGTTTCAGTGGTCGACAACAGTAGCAACTGGGCGGTGTGTGGGAAAAGTTCTGGCGTCATCTCCATGCCTGTGGCCGCCCGGGCCACTCACCGCGTCCACATGGAGGTGATGCCCCTCTTTGCGGGTTACCTGCCCCTTCCCGACGTCAGGCTCTTCAAATACCTCCCCCACCACTCCGCGCACTCCTCGCAGCTGGACGCTGGTAAGGACTCAGAGATGGGGTGCGCTCGCCATCGGAGCGAGAGACGGCTCCGTGCGGGGATGGGGGAGGGGGGCTCCGCTCGCAGGGCCCGCGCTTCCTGACCAGTCGCGTGTGCTCGGTGCCGGTGGCGTCTAACCGAAAACCCGCTCGGGGTTACGGGTTGTAGGCGCCTGCTCCGGGGCTGGGTCCTCTGAGGGCCCGCGCGCCGGATCCCCTTAGGGGTGGCCTCGTTTAACGTTCTCTCGCTCGGAAGGTCAGCTTGGGTGGCTTGCGGCTCCCCGGGGCAGGTAGCAGGTCCCCGTCGCGGGCCCGCGCCTCACTTCCTGTGCGTTTTGCAGATAGCTGGATAGAGAGCGACGGGCTGTCGGTGGACAAGCACGTGGACGAGCAGCCGGACGGCGGCAGCGGCGGCAGGTGCAGGGGCAGCGCGCACCTGGCCTCCGGCGGCGAGCACAGGGGTTTGCCCATGCCCCGGCTGCAGGCGCTGCCTCCCGGCCAGGTCTTCAACGCCAGCGTGGGCACGCAGGTGCTGGTCATCCCCAGCAAAGACGACCACGTCCTCGAAGTCAGCGTCACATGACCGTGCCTCGGGTCCTGGCGCGCCCCAGGCCGTTCGTGAGTGCGCTTGAAGGGGTCCCGCCTCCTCTGCCCCCCGTCGTCACATCCTAGCGCTAGCCGGACTCTCGGTGATTCTGCCTGGCCGTGGAGGCGTCAGAGAATGTCAGCGCGCAGCCGGTCGGCCGAGTGACAGCGTCATTTCCGTGTTGTCCGTGGTGTAAGATTCCCCGTTGCTTCTTTTTTCCTCCCTGTCCTTGTGCCGGCGCCTCCGGGGTTTGCCTGGACCCCACCCCCGCCAGCCCTCTCCCTGCCCCTGGAAGGTCTGTGCCCTGCTCTCTCACCCGGCAGCCTCCCGGTCTGCCGGCTCCTTATGGAGTCCGTGGGCCTTCCAGGGGGACACACGGCCACCCTCGCCGTCTTAGTAGTGACACGTGTATGCCTTTCTGGGCACACGGCTGCCCTCTTTCTGGACCGGTTGGATTTGTAAGGCTCCTGAGGGATAAAACACCATCCTTTACCCAGATGAGTTGTGCTTCTCTAGAATAACACCCTTTGAGAGCGGGTCAGCGAGGCTGAGTGCTGGAGGGGGGAGGGAACGGAGCCCCTTCTGTGCCTTGGGACGTCACACTGGGAGGGCCTGGAGCCTCCGTTAGCTGGAGCCATTTTAAGGTACTTTGGGGAGACTAGACCAGGGCCTAAAGGACCACTGGTACTGAAATAGTTTAGGAATAAACGTTTCTGGAACCCCTTTTCCCCATGATATTGATTGAATTATCATATGCACTTGGAATTAAATATGTATTTATTTTAATTATCATTACGTTGGGGGTTGGTACATTGTTTTCTTCTCACCTTAAAAGTCTTTCCATGTCATTGTCGCTGTGTAATCGATACTTTCTTCCGCACCTTAAGTCCTAGAGGTTAAGAGGCTCCATTTCAGTGGAGATTGGCGGGGCCCTGTCAGTGTGCTTCTAGTCTGGTTGTGGGAATGACGGAAGTCTTGGAATATTCTCTGCCGGTCCACTAAAATTGCAGTCGTAACCGTACCAATGGATTAATTTGCTCTCGGTTGTAAATTTAATTGTACATATGGTTGATTTATTATTTTTAAAAGTACAGACTAACGGATGTAATGTTTATGTAGAAGTTGCACCAAAAATCAAGGACAAAATAAATGCGTGTTTGTTTTTACTGGTGTGAGAGTCACAGCTTGTAAATAAGTGTTGGCTGTATGAAACCTTTTCCAGCTCTCCAAAGCAATGTATTTTTGTACATAAGAGATAGAGAACTCTTACTTCCCCGGGAAAGCGTGGTCAGAACGGAGCCCGGCAGGCTGATGCAGAAGGGGAGTGCGGTCAGGCCCAGAGGGCACGGCCTCACGCCCAGCTGGAGACGAAAGGGGCCTGCTTGTCACCTGCCAGAGAGAGGCTGGAGGAGGCTGGCGTTGAGGGGGTGGCGGGGACTTGGGGCTGCGGGGGTGAAGGGGCAGATCAGAGTCCTTGTTCCCACGCTTCTGTGTTGTCTCTCAAATCACTCAGAAAATAAGGTGGTGTGATTCCCCCGCACCCCACCCTGTGTCTTTTTCGTTTACAGAAATTGGAGATACGTAAAGAAGATCAATATTTGTGAGTCTAATTAAACTTTTCAGAAATTAATCTTCCTTAGGTGCACTTTAAAACTAATAAACTTGGTCAACTAGGCAAATTAGAGCTTCGGAGTCTAATGATAGTTTAGGGTTTCTAAAATGTTTGTTTTGTTGTAAAAATTGATGATTGCCCTACGGATCTGCCAAGCCCTGTGGATGAAGAGATGTTTGAGACGTGATTCCGCCCGAAACACCTCACGTGGTCAGTCTGGGAGCCACCGTGCCTAATGCGGCTTTCCCTCTACACTCCGGAAGGGGACGTGTGATTCGATGGTTACCTTATTTCTGTTTGATTGTGTGTGTGTGTGTGTGTGTGTGTGTGTGTGTGTGTGTGTGTGTGTGTCTAGGTTCCAATCCCAGGATGAAATTCTCTAATTACGTAATATATATAGAGGGAGAAAAGGAAGGGGAAATCCAAAATGTTCATGGTGGCTTCTTACTGTCCTCAATTTATATGAAATAAAATTTATTGGAGGTTCGGTTTTTTTTCCCCCAATTACCTGAGAGATCTTTTGCAACCTAAGTTACAAGGGTGCCTCTGTTTTTATTTTGTTTCGTTTTACCCAAAAGAAAAATGTTACCTCTACCTTTGTCTTTTTTTTTTTCTTGAAGACAGTAATTCGATTTTTGTTGTGTTTACAATGAAATAAGGCTCATGTGTTTGCGACAGGCTGGTTTTGTTAGTAAAGATGTAGCAGCTGTTTAATAATTGTGAAGCCAGATATGGAATGTGCAGCTAAAAAGCAGAATGTGCAGCTGTTTTACAAATATCTGTGGAACATGTAAATACTAGCAAGTGGAAAAGGAAATAAGTTATAATTTTGGTGAATTTCATGGGGTTTCCTATGATTGGAAAAGTTATAACTTCTGATTTAATGTGGAAATTGTATTTAATCTGAAAATGACTATTACCTACGGTCCATTGTCAGCACAGCCGGTCGTGGGTTGGATTCTTATGTAAGGGAGTCTTGGTTGATATCCCATAGTTAGTAGAGAAAATACACACAGGCTACTATCCAGTTTTTCTTTAGTGTTTAAAAAGAAGAGTGAGTTACAAAATGAAATGAAAGAAACACTCCAGAAGTGTGCATGGAATGAAAAGGATACTACTTTTTAAAGAACAAACTACACTGATCTAAATGTTTTGCAGTCAAGCGTGATCTTTAAAATAAACCCTACGTGATTTTGGAATTTGATTTTTCATGAAAGTGCCCCCTTTCTCTAAATTTATTCATCATATACGTCAGGCCGTAAGACCCAAAAGTATCCTTAATACAATTTGCTGGGATTCTGTGACTGGAAAAGGTGACAAGTTGGTGACTTTGACACTGCAGGTATTAATTCCATTTTCATGGTTTACTACGAGAGTCATTTTTCACATTATTCTGTAATATATTGTTAGACTAAAACCATTGTATTAAGACTGTTTAAAATGTAAGCATTATAATTCTGAAAATACAGATTTTAAGAAGAAACTTGGCTGTTTTGAACTTCATTCTTTTGGTGAGGAGCATGAAAGTTGAGTGTGTGAAGTTAAAGAATTTTCTGGTTTTCTCTCCCTACTCCTTCTTCCTGACTCGAAGCATAGATTATTTGCTTTGTGGGGAGCACAAGGGATTTTTTCATAATTCATTACCCTACAGGAACAAAGACATTTGAGTGTTAAGGGCTTAGGGTTGTGGGTTTTTTTGTTTTTTGTTTTTGCTTTTTGTTTTTGTAGCTCTGTCTGCCAATGAAGTTAATTGCCTTTGTGACGTTTGGTAGCATCGACGATTTCTTTAGTTTACTCCGTCTCCTTGTTTTTGGTCCCCCCATTCATAATGCAGAGCTTAAATAATTAAGCGTGGGGTCAGAGCGCCTCACCCACTCAGGACGTGAGCCTTCTGGGCAGCGGCGCAAGCGGGACCCAAGAAGGACAGAGCCCCAGTCCTGCTTGGTACCCGCGGGTGCGCGGCTCAGGGCGCGGGGGGCGGGGCCGGCAGTCTCACGCCCCGCCTCGGGGTGCGGTGGGGGCGGGGCCTGCGGACGGACTCTGTCGGGGCGGGGGCGGGGCCCACG